CTCGTTAAGCAAACGAGCCGAACACGAACACACTTTTTGAGCTCGAAATATAAACGAGCCGAACACGAGCTGAGCTTGGCTCGCTCGTGTTCGGCTTGTTTACACCCCTAGTGGTAACTTTGTCATAACTTAACATGCACATGCAAGTATGCTATAAATCATTTCATTTACATTCTAAATATCATGTAATATTATTTTCTTATAATATGCATGTGTAGTAAATAACTATAGCTGCGCAAATCATTCAGATTCATTTCTAGATGATCAAATTGAATAATAAGTAAAATAATCATAATCTTATTATAATGACAAGGTATCTTGACAAATGACAGTCTAATGCGAGTGATTTAAAAAAAATTCAACATTATTATCATAATTTAGAAGTAAAAGTACTTAACCCTTTTTGATGATTCTTGTAGTCACTTAATTTTTTTATGTCCTCTATTTAGTGTTTAAAAATGTAAAACATAATATTTTATCAACTTCATTTTTTTTATTACTCAAAAGCTTATAAGTATTTCTCAATTACACCTTATGTTAGGTATTTATATTTCTTCTAAATTAAAAGGCATAAGTAGAACTTACCTCAATTTAATTTGTTTGTTTGCTTCTTCCTCGATCACCTCTCTCGATTATATTTCCAAAAATTCTGATTTAATTAAAAGTACTATTAATATTTTAATTGTCAAACATATATATTAAATTCTTAAGTAACATGCTAAAATCTTAACTCACCTTTAACATTTATTTGTTGTTGTTATCGTATTCTCGATCCAAACTTCTATAGCTTGAATCATGATTTATTCAAATCTTACTATTAATAACTAATAATTAATAATATATTAAATTCATGAATTAAAGTTTCAAAAACTTTAACACTGTTCGGTCTAAACCACACAAAGCCACGCAACCGCTCCTTCCTTTGCTTCGATTGTTATTCTTTCGATCACAACACAAGTAAGCACTCCTCGTTCACTTTTTGCTTGTTCCAACACGACACGCGAGATCTTCTTCTTGCTCCCGCTTCCTCTTCCTCTGCATGATACCCACACTAGCTCCTTCTCTATGCTCGATAGAGATGTCTTTGCCAAACACCGATACTGTTCCTCATCTCCTCCTTCCTCCTCTCTTCTTTTGTGGTTAGCTAGAGCACGATCGAGCAGTTGTACACACACACAAAGCTTCTCTTCCTCTTGCTATTTGCTTGCGACGATCTATAGAGTTGCTCGATGCCTTTTCATTCTCGTACGTTCAAGGGAATGGAATGAATTGTTCTCAAATAAGTTGCACTTACCTCTTTCTCATTCCTTTCTTCTTCTTCCTCCTCTTTTGGACTCACTTGCCTCAACTCTTTCTTTCGACTTAGTATACTTCTGATATCTCCCTCTCCTACTTTCTCTCGTTCTCTATCACTCGTTCCTCTGTTGAGTTGGAATGAGAGGGAAAATTAGGGGATAGTAGTGACTTAAGTCTCCACAGGTGGTGGGCTTCTCTTTAGAACGTCTGTGAAAGGATAAATGTCGTAACAGATAAATTTGTTTCACAGATGTCTCTATTGTAATAGATTTTAAATTAATATGAAATGAAATGTAAATGTTAAGACATACATGATTATCTTCAAATGGTACTAACTTGTGTTTGGAAGTATTTTGGTTAAGACATACATGATTATCTTTCAAACATGGCGCGGGCTTCTCATAATAAAACAAAAAATTGTTCAAGCTTATTCATTCAACAACCATTAATTTATGAAAGTATTTTGGTTTGTTTGAGTGGTTAATTAACAAATTTGAGTGAGCATTTCTCAAGCCAATTCGGAAGTTTCTTTTAGCATAATAATAGGATTGTAGTGTATTTGTCTATCATTTTCAATGGTAGAAGATAGGATGTATTTTAATGTCCTCAGTTAGTACCATAAGTTGGACTTTGTACATTTCTGTATCTTTCTTCCATATTAATATATTTGCCCTTGGGCTTTAAAATATATATATATATACAAGTTTCACAATGCCAGCTGCGGTCGAGAGCTCTGCTAGGGTTTCCAATGGCGATTTCCGTCGCATTTGATTCCGTCGCTTGAACGAGAGGGCTCGCACAACGCCTTTGTTTCATCAACTCTCCCTCCTCATCCTCTGCTTCGTCCTGACGTTACTGCGTCTCTTTGACGCCGTCGACTCGCGTCTGCGTCTGCGTCGTTTATGTTGCAGATTCTGCAGCTTGCGCCTGCATTTGCGTCGTTGCCTCTGCGTCGTTTTCTGTTCCGACGCTGCGCCTGTCCCTGCCCGACATCTTTGTTTCGTCTGCGTGTCAGGGACCTCGCAGCAGTTGAACGCCTACAGATCTCATGGCGTTCCCTTCTTTATTGGTTGAACCAGATAAAGTCTCATTTGCCCACGTGGTGGGTAACCTTTAGGTGAAGTCTGCAGTTATCTTCCCCTCAAGCTATAAAGATTGTCGTGATGGTACAGGTGATTGTCCTTTTGTTAAGATGGGAAGTAGGAAAGGTGGAAAAACAACAATCTTTTTCTCTGACTTATAAATTTCTACCCTGACGGATAAATTTTGAAATTTTAGTTGGCTCTTATTGAAAAATTTTAGTGGGGGCACCCACCTATGGAAGTTATCAGGAATAGTGTTGATGATCTTAAACTAGTAGGCAAGTGGAAAGTGGGACTCATGGATGGGAGACATGTGTTCAACTAATCGTGACTGAAGACTACACCCGGATTTTCTCCAAGAAATATCTTAATATCGCAGACAAATCAATGATGTTACTTAAGTGATCTCCTGATTTCAAACCAAATCATGAAACTCCCACTGTACTGGTATGGTTTAGTTTATCTGGTCTCCAGCTGCACTTTTTTCATCATTAGGTTCTCTACTCTATTGGGGTCATCCTTAAGGACCCTACAAAACTAGTTCTACTCACTTTCAACCTAACCAGACCTTTTGTGGTCAGAATACTTGTAGAAAGGGATATTACTTTACCTGATGTTACTGAAGTTTAGCTGGGCACAACTCATAATGGATATTAGTAACAAATCGCCATGGAACACAGACCTCCATATTGTACTCACTGTAAAATGTTTGGGCATACCCTTGATAAATGCCACAAGCTCCAGCTTAATTTGAAGTTTAAGGTTCAAGTGAATAAGGATGGGTCTAACCCCACTGCTCTGGACATTTTAGTTCCACCTGGAGAGGATAGTACCAGACAGGAGGTGTCTGTTGCCCCTATGGACCGCCCCTGACACTGTTGTTACTGATATTGCGATTGATGTGATGCTGGCACCTTCTAACCCCATAGAAAACAATATTGAAGAACTATTACCTACAAAGGATAGTGTTCAAACTGATAATCAGGAGAACCTCGCAGCTCCCCATCTTCAGGAAGTATCCGGTGTAAAAATAACTCATACATAACATATACTAGAACCTATTTTGGGTACTATGGTTGGTAATCCTTCTGCTATAGCTCTACCACCTCATCAGACTGATTCGTCAAATGAGGAATGACAGGTTTACACTTCCAGGAGGAAGAAGAAGAATGGAGATTTACTTGAGCTCAAGAATCATATGGATGATACTTTGGTTACTTCAGGTAATGGTACGCACTTACCAATTTGTTAGTTGGATCCCTTCCGAGAACCAGAGGCAAGGGCAGGAGTAATTTTGGATGACCCTCACTTTTTCCGCACTCTGGTGGTTTTGGGTTTTTTTTCTTTTTATATGTACCCTTTTTGACTTTTTTGTGTGTTGTACCGTGTGAGTTGGGTGTCTATTTTTTATCCCACTTATATAACCTATCTGTTTCTTTTCTTTTTAATATATTAGCCCTTGGGCTTTTTTCAATATATATATATATATATATATTTCTTTTTCTAGATGTTTTCTGATGTAATTCTTAAATTGTAAGAATGTCATAATTGAATTTCATTATTCGGAATAACAAGAGAATAATAGTTCGAAACATGGGCTAAAATTAGAATTCATAATCATAATAAAACCATAAAATTTGAAATCTTGATATCAATGAAATTAAGGTGATGTTTTATTTCACCCATAATCTATAGCAATATGTTGAATCTTAAAGAAACTAAACTTGTAAATGAATCTGTGGTCCATGATCGGGGGCTCGCCTCTCACCCAATGGCGAGCGTTCGATTCATACTAACCTCTAACACTTATTGCTCTTAAGGCTCACCTTCCCAAAAAAAAAAAAAGAAAAAAAAAAGGAAAAGAGAAGAATCTAGACTATTATAGCATAGCTTTTGTATAATGAATATTCAATGAAAGAAATAGTTCTGATTGGTTTATGTGTCAGTGCTGATTGGTTTCAAATAGACAGAAATGATTATTCAGTCGTTTGGATTTTCATCATTCTCTTTACAATTTTGAGTAGATATATGCTTGGCCTTGTTTTATTTTTGCGTGATTTACATTCATAGCACAATTTTATGTATTTACATATCCCCACCTAAATTTTTTTATATTTACAAACATATCACTCAAATCTTTCCTATCACATCAAAATTAGTACCCTCTGCACTCTTTAAACTGAAACGGACCTTTTCATAAATAATACAAAACTTTTGGGTGCTATATATATATATATATATATGTAAATATGAATGTTCAGGTGTGAGATATGTAAATTCATAAGACTTATGTGCCAGCCAGGTATCTTCATTTCCTTCTTTTTTTTTTTTTTTTGTTGGGGTTATTGTATAGCAGAGTTGTCTCATTTGATTGAATTGCAGGTCCATCCTGATTGGGACACCATAAAAATTGATGTCATGTACAGGGGTCTCAGATGTAAGTTTTCAACGCACTCTCACTTGAATTCCTTGCTGCGATCAACTGTTGGATTTGCTTTGGTTGAAGCTTCACCACATGATCTCTTCTGGGGCGGTGGTCGTGATGGGGAGGGCCTCAATTATTTGGGCAGGCTGCTCATGAAATTGCGATCCGAAATTCTCAATGAAGCTGCTCCAGATTCTTAACAGCTGGTGGAAATGTGTGTATTATATTATTTTATTGCTAAATTTGTCCTTTTTTTTAATGATTTATAATAAATTCAGAATTTTCTTTACCTATTTTTTGTAATTTAGAAAACTTATGTTACGTTCAAATGTTTATGATTTATATATATATATTTGTACCCAGCAAGTGAACTGGAAAAAGTCCACCAAATTCTAAAAAATATAAAATAAGAATCAAACAAAACGATAAATAATAATCCAACTATTAACAAATTTGTAGCCAACTTTCTCAATTCTAATTTTTTTTTTTTCTCAATTCCTAAATGAGATTATCAATATACGCACATATTTGTCTGAGTTTGTATACTTGCAAATATTGATTTGCTTAATTCACATGTTTCTGGTTGATTTCAATTTGAGGAATTCATTTGGTCCTTTCAGTGAAGGAAGGGTGCAGACTTGAACATACATTTAATGAGAAAAACAATTATCAATTAATAGTAAATCAATAATTGTTCCTAATTTTTCAATCCCTTTGTTCAGTAATTACGCTAATCGTCAAAAGACAATTTATCAAAAACAGAAGAGATACCAAGGCGGTGCAAACCTGATAAATCATAAGTTTGTTTACATAAATCCCAGTAGTTACAGGTGGACATCTAAAAAAGATCAGCCTTCTACATGAAAATTGAAAAATATAAGCAAAATACATCTGAGATGCCAATCATGCGGATCTGAAAAACATGGGACATTAAAGCAGATATTCATGTTTTTTGTTCATTCAACAGAAGGATCGGGGCGAAGTGCTATCTTGAACAGTAAGAAGAAAGATTTCAGAGCTTCAATGGAGCCAGGCCAAGAGAAGCACGAAGCCTGTTGGCCTCTGCAATCTCTGGGTCCGGGTGGTCGGTTCCATCACTCTTTTTCACCTTTTCCTTCTTCTTTGATTCATCCTGGAAATTTCCATCATCTGCAGGGTGCCTACGAGGACTGATACTGCCACGAACACGCCTTCTTCGATACTCACCATCCTCACGGTCACGTTCTCTGCGATCTCTGCTCCTACTCCTGCTCCTCGAGCGGCTTCTTCGTTTTCCACGATCACGGTCTCTCCTATCACGTTCTCTTCCTTCCCTTTCTCTTTCACGATCTCTATCTCGACCATAGTCCTTCTCATCTCTAAGACGATGACGATCCCTCTCCTTATCCCGGTCTCTTTCTCTATCTCGGTCTCTATCCCTCTCCCGATCTCTTTCACGACCCCTGTCATGGTCCCGATCATAATCCCTCCCCCTATCATAGTCTCGTTCCCTGTCAACCAGAACAACATAACAGTAAACAAGTACGCCTCAAAAAGGATAAGAAGATAAGGGCCTCGATCCCCTGATAATGAAATATTAGCAATGAACCAAATACAATAAATAAGAGAAGCTAAATTAATCAATAGATTCATTCCTTCTCCCATCATTCACAATGATATTTGATAAATATGATCCGAGTTCGATAAAAAAACTACTCGGACTACACGATTCATCAAAAAGTATGCAGGATTAATATATTTCGTAATCTTATACATTAAAAGCAATAAACTAATGTTGAAATGGATGTAGGATAACTCATATAATTGACAGCATATAATTGGAATGATGCAGGAGTGATGATTATAAAAGTTGATAAGCCACATTGCTCGGAATTCTTATTTAATTGTAGCCTCTCAACTGTTACAGAGAAATGAACACAGAACAGATTAATTTGCTTCTTCAAAAAAGCAAACTAAACTGGATAATACTTTTGTAAAATTATGTCATAAGAAAATCACAATCCAAAAATACATAAAACTTGTTAAAAGATAAATCAACCATGCAAAACATGGCTCAATAGAAAAGTCCTTACATTTTTTATCATAAACTAGGGTTGACTAAAACTATTCCATATTCACCTTATCCAAACTCATGGAATACTGTAATCGAATTTTTAACCCATTTATTGATTCATACTTCTCACTGCATACAAGCAGTGCAGAGAAACCTCAGTCATCTTGCATTAGTTTAAATATCAGTTCAATCTACTAACCATGACTCTAGAAAAGTTTATGTTCCACGGTAGTAATTAACATAACAGAATAGTGAAGTTTAACAATCAATGCTTCCAATAGGATTATCCAAATCTATTATTAAAAACATGGTGGATATGGAACAGAGATATTAAGTTCATGATTCTGTTGGAAGAGCTTGATCAAATAAGACGAAGTCAAATCAATGGAATTTCAGACCCATAAAGAGTACTTACTAAAGCAACATCCTTATTAGAGAAAAGGTAGGATATGGACAACTAGTTAATGAATAAACAATTTCTTAAAGTAATAATTTACTACTTCATTCATACCCAGTTATTTTTATGATATGAATTATATATAGATTGGGAAATTTACATACGTAGCACACAATTCATTTGTATTTTCAAATCTCACACCTAAACCTTAGGTGTGAGCTATGTAATAGATAAGAATTGTGTGCTATATATAACTGCCCGTTGTAGTTTTCACATAGTTTCATTACCTTAAAACCAATGTCTACCGTACTGTACTCTATCATGTTCTTAAAATAAACTATTAGATAGGTAAAAACTTGAAAAAACCCTAAACAAGGAAGAATAACATCAAAAGATCAACCTTCTAAAGATAGCTCTTTGCTAATTTTGTAAAGAACAATAATCGTTGAAGGATTTACACAGTCAAGTAAATTTTAAGTATTAAGGACTTTCAAAACATGCATTCGGCCAAGATTATGGTGCACACTTCAAGGAGTGTAAAATTGTATTTGATAAAATTAAACCGTCATAGGCGCCCAAACAAATCCATAAGCCACACATGCTTCTTAGGTATTCACCTTCACTTGAGAACTGCTAAGGTAAATATCATTCGTTAAGACGGCACATGGTGAGGTACAGCCTTACCATTGCAAAATGGACAAGTGTTAATGTTTCAAAATTTTAAACTCAGAAAACTAGTTATTTCACACAACACTAATTGAAAAGAGGTGATATGGAATGAGCATCAATAGTTGGAGAAACAAAAATGTACACTAAAAATAAGTTTGATCAGATGTGCGTGCATGGATCACGTTAGCCCGATGATTTTAAACATCAACCACAATTTTGATTAAGTAAAACAAGGCATTATAAAAATCAATGTAAAAAAGAGGAAGAAAGACATGGTAGAAAGAAAGAAAAGTGCAAAAATAATAACTTGATAGAAATTAAGATGCACAAGCAACACTAAGAAATAGCCCACAATATGTGCTACAACATAACAAACATTATGGGTACTGCTTTACTTTCCTATGCCTTGCAATGTAAATAATGCCGAAGTGCATTATGCAACAGTATGGGCAATAACACATTAATTTATATTGCTGATACGTATGGGTTAACATGGACCAAAACTCTAAATATTCCACCGCACCAAATGCTACCAAAATACCCTGTTCCTTAGTTTCTTTGAAAGGAGGTTAAACTACCTATCCAGGATGAAGGCTAAATTAACACTTCTCTAAAATGAGGATAAACAACAACCTATGCCCAAATGCTCACTTTAAAATGAGATTAAACTACAACACAATAAGATCCATTGTCTTCTCTTGAATGAGATAACATGATTGATGCCTTTATACGATGAAAAAATGCACCAACCTACAAGTACATACAAATCAATACATATCAGCCTCCACATTTCCTTCAAAATGAGGTTAATTTATGTTCCACTTCAAAATGATCTCAAAAGCCCCCCATCACTTCAAATGGGAGCCTAAATCTACTTACAACATTGACATTTAGCAAAGCCAGATGAACAAGATTTGTTTGCGATTGATCAAAAAAATAAAGCAAGCTACGTGCTCCTTCGAATATTACCTCATTGACCAATCAAAGTATACCAATTCTCAAACGTTGCCTTGTCAATTCACACATCAAGGGTGTTTTTTTCCCCAATTGTTCGGGTGTTTATCCCAAATTGTTCACCATCTCAACCCATTACTTGACCCCAGTGCTCCACCACCTAAATCAAAATTTCGTTATCCACATTGGACTTTAAGTGCAAGCTAATAAACTCAAATTTCGAATCCCCAGGAAATGTCCATGCCAAAAACTCTCAAATGTTACATCCACTAGCAAGCCCGCCAAAAGCATACAGTAAAAATTCAGGACCCAGCAAGTTAAAGCAACGAGCTAATCACCAATGTTGTAGGTAGCAACCATGCACACAACATTTTAAGCTAACTGACTGTAATCATTACCAAAGGGTCGATCTACTAATCAATACGAGACCCGCATTTAATTCAAACAACAATACCTAGGTCACCCTATTCACTAGCAATCCACCAAATGAACCCATCAAACATTTTGTTTGCCCTGACATCTCCTTTATCAGACAAAAAGTAAATAAAGCCTACTCTCCCTTCTTGATAAGCAAAATGGATGCCAATCGTAATCAAAGGGAATATTAACTACTAAAACATTCAAATTCATACCCTTTATATCCTTTAACCACAAATCTTTAAAAAATATATATATCCCATCACATACACCTCACCAATCTCCATAACATATCCGAGATAAATGTCCAGCCAAACCTATTTCCTAACCAAAACTCCATTTACATGGAAAGGAATGATCCGCAGTATATAATACTATAAGCACTATAGATGAAAGGACTACATACTCACATGTTTATGATTTGAGTGGGTATAAATGCCATATCCAACAAGCCAAAGACTACGGGATTGCTAAGAACCATCCTGCCAAGTGAAACCCCAATATAGCGGGATAAGAGGTTTTTTTATTATTTATTTTCTTTTCTTTTTAATGAAAGGCAGGATAAGAATTCTCGGGTTGAGCATTGCATATTCGTAACAATTTGGTCACATGTAAGAGTGTGAAACAAACAATGGTGGCCAGAAAATACAGCATGATACATTCAAATTGTTACAAGGAGGGCCAAGTCATTCTACTGAGAATTTTTTTTTTTCCAACCAAAAAAACTTATGATCAAAAACAGTGACAACCATGTTTTTATCAATAATGTTAGTAACCTATGTTACAATAAAAAAATTGAACACGTTGGGCCGCCATCACTTCATTCAAGTAGTGCCATCAAAAAATACCATTATTCCTTATGTCACGTTATGGTCGCCATCACTTCATTCAAGTAGCGCCATCAAAGAATACCATTATTCCTTATGTCTCCAATTTTGAACAACTGTAGAATGATTTATCAATGCTTTCAATTCAAAATCTATTTTCAAACATTAGGCAAATTGGACCTTATTTATCACACACACACACACAGATTTTATTTTTAGTATCTTCTATTTTAGTATTTTATATTTTTAAAATTTAGAATTATGGTTGATTTTATATTTTTCCTAAATTGGAAGTCATCCCCTCAATTTATCTTGTAATCATTTCCTATGAAATTAAAGATAAATAATTATTTTCTCCCATCCAACAAATACATAATATCACAACAACAATTTGCCCTTGAAATTGCGTTTGAAACCCTTCGACAAACAGTCTGGAAGTTTCGCTTTGATCTGATTCTATTGCTCAAACGGTATGCACTGTTGCTAGGATTCGAACGTCATCTGAGAGTTTTGTCTGCGAGTTCCACTTTGTCTCTCAAAACTTTTCTCTAGTGTCGCATGAGATATTCGCCTCGACCACCCGTTTGCGAGTTCTACTTTGCCTCTAGAGATTTTTCTCTATTCTGCACAGTTGCTACTAGAATAAAATCCTCGAGACTTTCTCTAACGTCAACTGCAAGTTCGAATCTGCTTAAGTTGAACTCGTACCAGAATCAAAGTTTATTTTTTCTCCCTGTAGGTAGGCACTGCACGTGTGTAACTTGTCTTAGATTTCAAGGATGTCATATAAGTCAGTAATGATGTCTGGAGTCCATAGAAATCCTACCACATCGAATGACTTCAGTAGTTCCGAAACCACATCACCTCACCCTACAACTCATCTCATAACTATATCAACTGAGTATTATCCCCATAACTCACCGCCTCATTTCATAGTTACAATACTCAATAGGCACAACTATTTAGAATGGGCTCAATCCAAAAAATTGGCGATCAACGGGAGACGAAAAATTGGGTATTTAATAAGACATAATTCGAAACCTATAGCTGGCGATTCAAACATGAAAAATGTCAGTCCGAAAATTCTTTGGTTATGACTTGGCTCATCAAATCCATGGAACCTGCCATAAAAAAGCCACATCTATTCCTTTCCACTACTCGAGATATATAGGA